TGTGTTTCAGCAAGTACAAATTTCAGAGGCCCAACCCAATTTTCATAGACATAACTGAATTTTGGATTTAGATATTTGATGGGCTTTTAATGATAGATAGACGAAGCCCACCTAGAAAAAAGAGCACCCGAAAATTACAAATTAGGGACAATACAAAAAGTTGTTGGTTCATGATATATACACCTCATTTTTTCCTATAAGAACACCTCCTTTTAAAAAAAATAATTAAAATTTTAAAACATTCTTAAATTTTTGTTTTAAATTTTTTAATTTTACATTTACAACATTTAATTCAGTACTTTTTTTTCACACATCTTTCCTCATTTTTTCAATTTTTACATGTACCCCCTTATTTTTCCTTCACTCCACCTATATTGGTAACATGTAAAAAATTGAAAGAGAAAAAAAAGGTGTGTGAATAAAAAGAAGAAAGTAGCAAATTGAAAGTTAAAAGTATAAAATTAATTTTTTTTTAAATTATAATATTTTATATTTTTTTTTTAAAAGGAGGTGTACTTATAAAAAAAAGGAGATGTATATATCATGATATTTCTTGTAGTGTAATGATGTCATTGATATTTATATATATATATTTTTTTAATTTTTAATCGTGGCTTTATAGTATATATGAAATTTCTTTTTAATCTTTAACTCCTTCTCGGTTCCCACCTAGCTAACCCTTATAGAATACGGCATCTAGTCACTTTTTCATACTCTTAATTTTTAGTTAAAGAGTAGAAACCACTTGTACCAACAAAAAACATAAATTTAGGAGGTAAAATATGTGGTGTGGTGTGGTGGCGATTGAAGTAAAGGGTTAAATTATTTGGTCCATGAACTCAGAGACATGTCTCCTACATGGGATCAAGGAGTGCATGGGTGCATGGCTCAGGATGAGTACAAACAAAACACATTAATGCTTTGATTTCCTTGAATTGGGTGCAGGGGTTAGTCATAGTGGGGGACACTTTTTTCTTAACTTGTTAGTGTACAAAAGAGTAATTTGGAAACTTATTTCTATTGCACATAATTTCTCCCTTTTCAATAAAAAATTATTAATCTACAAACTAGATGCCATTCACAATGTGTTTCAGCAAGTACAAATTTCAGAGGCCCAACCCAATTTTCATAGACATAACTGAATTTTGGATTTAGATATTTGATGGGCTTTTAATGATAGATAGACGAAGCCCACCTAGAAAAAAGAGCACCCGAAAATTACAAATTAGGGACAATACAAAAAGTTGTTGGTTCATGATATATACACCTCATTTTTTCCTATAAGAACACCTCCTTTTAAAAAAAATAATTAAAATTTTAAAACATTCTTAAATTTTTGTTTTAAATTTTTTAATTTTACATTTACAACATTTAATTCAGTACTTTTTTTTCACACATCTTTCCTCATTTTTTCAATTTTTACATGTACCCCCTTATTTTTCCTTCACTCCACCTATATTGGTAACATGTAAAAAATTGAAAGAGAAAAAAAAGGTGTGTGAATAAAAAGAAGAAAGTAGCAAATTGAAAGTTAAAAGTATAAAATTAATTTTTTTTTAAATTATAATATTTTATATTTTTTTTTTAAAAGGAGGTGTACTTATAAAAAAAAGGAGATGTATATATCATGAGCCAAAGTTGTTCTGTATACGGGTTGGCCCATAAAGCCTGCCTTTTTAATGTTGGATCGAGTCTTAAAATTTTGGACAATACAAAAAAAAAAAAATCAAACTGAATTTTATGAAAATCGAATTAAATTAAATCGAATCATATATCAATGGGATCGACATAGTAATAGGAAGTTGAACTACATAATCCTACATTCAAATCTTGGTTCTGTCATTGTAAATATGGTGAATAAAAAAATCAAATAAAAAATGAACAATTTTATGAAGGGATAAAAAATATTCTATTTTCAATCTTTCTTTTATGTATCAATGTAAAAAAAAATGGTTAGTTCAAGTTCATATTTTGTTTAATACCCTTATCTAAAATAATTAACCAAGTTGAATCACATGAACCATGGGTTAAATAGATTTGACTTGCAAATTTGCAGGTCGGTGAAGTATTTTTTCCCTTAATATTAATTAAAATGAGTTAATCACCTATATACTTTCAGTGTAAAGTTTTTTTTACATTAGTAACTAATCAAATTTTTTAATAGTATTATGTCAGTTACTTATTTAATAAAATAAAAATAAAAATAAAATAATTTAAATGATCTAATTGATTGTCGGTGTAAAAAAAACTTTACACTGTCAGTATATTAATGATTAAGTCAATTAAAATTGAATCCTGTGATAAACATTCTTTTATTTCCTCAAAAACAAAAGTGAAAAAGCCCATGGGTTAGTTCATAAAGTCCGTGTTGAACGTGTATGTAAAAAGTTTTCTTTTTAGCACAAGACTACGAGATACCAGAGTTTTTGTTGCACAAGTTTGTTTTTCGTACAATAAACGATGTAAAAGGTTTTTGTGAAAACGATGTTTTAATAATAGTGCCTATGGTGTCCATCATTTATGATCTAGGATGGTGGAGTCATAGTGTAAATGTGCAGAAAATAAAATGAAAGTATTTATATTCAAATACTAACAATTATTTTACATAAAAATCTAGGAATGACTAAAAGTTAATCCCTAAGTAGATGATAAGTTAAAGTGCACCTTTCTTTGGACTTAGCCTGGTGATATAATTAACTTCGAGTTGCCCCATTATAAGTCTAAACTAAAACATTAGTACGTTTTGATATTTACACATCTCTAATTATCAAGTACACATTCAATTAAAAAATATTTATTATTATTAAATATACCCTTTTAAACTTTATTTATGCACCAATATATAATCACTATTTTTTCCACCATGACTTTAATCAATTAAACTGCACTGCAGTTCAATTCTTGGTGTGCAAAAGTTTATTAATCGATTAAATATGATTAAAAGTAACCATGTCTTCCCTTCTCTTTTTTCAAATTATTTTTTTTCTTCTAAATATTTGAGAAAATATTTCTCCAAATACTATTAAATAGGAATATAAATATATTTTTAAAATTCATATTAGAAAATAACCAATAAGCTTTTTTAACCCGTAAACAACATAATAGTACTTTGTTTTATTTTTTTTATTAAAATTTGAAAAACTTAAATAAAAGTAATGGACGAGTTATATATTTTTAGCTTATACATATATTTTTTAAATAATATATATTTTTGTAATAAAAATGGTATTTTTGTAATACATATATTTTTTAAATAATATATATTATTTTTTAACGACAAAGAAAATATTTTTTATATCGATAATAAAAACAACTACGATAGAAATAGTGACATTTTTATAAAATAGTGCAAGACTTTTTATGTTAATTGAACAACTGTTTACTTTTTAAGATGGTTTGAAAAAACAATTGTCATAAAAAAGTGTTTTAAAAATTGTAGAAAATGTAATTTGCATTTTAACTTTAAACTTTAACTTTGTGTTTTGTCTCTTCTCCCAATGATGAGATATTGTTCGTTTTAGGCTTAAGTTCTTAAGGTTTTGCTTTTGGTCAAAATAAAAAAGGAATCTATCTTTGTGTATATATATATATATATATATATATATCATATAATGAGTTATGAGAGGTTATGAGAGTTGCTACTGAATCCAACATTGTCCACTTTGAGTCTAAGTCCTCACAGTTTTACTTTTGGTCATCACCCAAAAGATTTTTCAAGCATTAAAATATGTTTGTGCTTTATAAGTTATTATTTCTTCTTTTATTTTATCGATGTGAGACTTGTTTATATCCCAACATTAGGTAAATTAATTTTCTCTTTTACTTTCATTTTTGTTGTGTTTTTTTTTGTTGATATTGGTTGAATGTTGTTAGTGTCGTGTTGTGAAAGCAAACATGGTTGAGAAAGTGATAAATGTGATGGTGGAAGTGACATATATGGTAGTAGCGAACATGACAAGAGAAAATAATGTGAAAATGATGTCATGGTGGTGTAAGTGGTAGTGGCAAAATAAAAAGAAATGCAACAATAAAAGAAAAAGAATGTAAAAATGAAATGCGAAAAAAATGCAACTGTAAACACCAATTTTTTTTTTTTAAATAAAAAACTAGGCTGAAATAAGAAAAATAAATTAGTATCAGTACAATTTTGAGATAAAAGAAGTGTAATTTGGTCCTAATATATAATTCCATAATTCAAGTGCAATCTCCAAGATCAAACTAATAAGTATCTTAAGAAATAAAATTAAATAAAATTGTCACTTCTATATGGTGTTGAAGCAACAAATAAGAGAAAGAAAAACCAAGTAACCTAAGCCTATGCAATCACATCCAATATTACATTGTTTTATTTCCTATTTTTATTACTTTGTTTTGTTTTCTTCATTTTAAGTATTAACTCTGCTGATACCTAAATTAAACCCAACAATATAAACAAACTTGCATCGGATCATATAGATATTATTATACTAATAAATTTTCCAATAGATTTTTTTTCAAAAAGAAAAATTTAGCATATGAAGAAATACCTTTTCGCCTTAATCAACTTTGTGTTTGGGTGCCCACTTCTCGCAAGGGAAGAAGGATGATTCAGGGAAGACAAATTCCAAAATCTCGCTTTTATATATTTTCACTTTTCAAACTATTTATAAGAAGAAAGTACACAAAGTTATTCATGCTCTCTGAAATTCACTAGGTTAATATAATACGCCATTAGACTTCATTTGGCCAAAGCTTTTCAAAGAAGACACTACCCGGTTCACACACCACTCGTAAAATCAATCAAACAAACAATCATTTTCAACCAATCACAAACCCTACGACAACAATATAATTGTCAAACACTTTCTCTTTAATAGATGAAATTATAGAAAAGGAAGAGGAATCATACTTGAAACACTAGAAGGTAGGGCGGGAGAGAGGGTTGAGTAGAGCGAAAACGTGGGAGATTAGCCCTAACGTGGGAGCGACGCACGGATGAGCGAAGCCGCACGCGCGGATGAATGGAGCAGCACGCGGATGAACGGAGCAGCGCGCGGCTGAGCGAAGCGGTGGAAGTGGATGAGCCAGGCAACGCGCGCAGTGGAAGTGCACGGATGAACGAAGCTGTGCGCTTGGATGGAGGAGCGGAGTCAGTAAAAGGTAAATGTGGACAAAATTGGAAGGATTGAGTGAAAATAAATTGCGGGGGAAAATGGTGAAAAATTTTCAGGGAAAATTGCCTCTGAATTTGGGAGGGCATAAACCTCCTCAAAAAATGATCAAAACTGCCACTATTTTTACAATTTTGAGCGTTCCCTCAAAACGCCACAACTCATGTTAATTTGAGGGGGTTTTAAAACCTCCGTAAAATAACCCCCACTAAATAGCATTTTTTTTTGTAGTGACATATACCACTCCTCAACTGTGTCTCGACCAAAAGTTTACTTTCTTGCCACAGTATCACCTACTCCTGATCTTCACATACCAAGGTATGGTCATCGCAGTCCCAACCACAAGGAAAACATGCTAGGGTAAGTTCACAACAATAAACATCATAGAACAACATCAACATACAATAAACAACAATAGATTTCAACTTTTCGTCTTTCAACATCAACTCAAAACAACAATGTTTTCAACACATTCAACATAATATACAACTTCAATGCAACCACATAGGCAACATCCGTGAAACATCATATGCAACATCTGCTAATGTGTCGTCACACATATACAACTAGGAGATTTCCAACAAACTAAGGTTGAGCAGTCTAGGTGGCATAAACCCTATCGAGTCCAATGTTTGACCAATCTCAACTAGGTTAGGTATAGGACATTGTTAGGAACTCCAAAGAGAACCAGGTATAGAAAAAAATAGGCGATTGCTCAAGTGTGTCACTCAGACTCGGAGGTTTAGTACTACTATTAGGGCAGAAGGGTTTTGGTGTGGGTCTACCATGACCTTGGCTTGCATCACCAATCCACATATGGAGTTAAACCACCCATTGCCCTCCAAATACCATGCACTCTCCAATACCTAGTCAAAGACTACATCTCTAACTAGATACCTTACTCAAATTGGTCATTCAACCATGACATGGATCGAATACTTCCATGCTGCTCACACAGTACTAAGGGATTCAACTTTAAGAAAACAACTTTCAACTTATCACCTTAGTACTATGTATCTCAACATAGGACATATATCTTCACCATATGTCCCCAACTTTACAACAATAGACATCTTTATACAATTACTTGAATAAACAACTTAAGCAACTATAGTCATCATAATATCAATTATACAACAATAAGCTACTTTTAAACTTTACAACATAAACAACTTATATATAACACATGTCATCATAACATCATCAACAATAGACAACACACATCTTAGTGACTTCTGTACAACTATACAACTTTAACAACATAGCAACTTTTCCACATACATCACAATGCAACTTTATAACTTATAAACAACTTTAATAAACAACTTTAAAAAAACTAAAAATCAACTTACAACATATAATCAACTTGAATTTACAACCTAAACAACTTTAATATACATATTAGCCTTTAAAAATAAGGAATTCTTGAAGAAAATCATCAAACAGAGTCAGTCACACGCCCATGACTCCCCGATCACGCCCGTGACTCATTCTGTCTTAGCAATATTTTGAAATATGAGGAGATCACGGTCGTGACTCGCTATTCATGCCCGTGACTAACCAATGACACTCGTGACTCCCTCGAAAAACTTGAAAAAGAAAACCCCACTTCAATTTTTCCTCAAATCTTGCATTTTAAACTAAACCCAACACATGCAACCTTTTCCAAGCATTTACAACAATGTAAAGTAACTAAAACAACCTAAAACATCAACATGCAAACCAAAACGAGATCAAAACCAAGAAATTCCCCCTTTGGCCCCAAAATCCCAAAATAGAATGATTTCTCAACATAACCCATTCAATCCACCATCCATGGTTCCACATACCAGAAATTGATCCAAAATTTATAGAAATGTGAAGCTTCCCTAACCTGAAAAGATTAAAAAATTCGAGGTCCCAAGCTCTGCGAGTGAAGGAAGTGCAGAGAAAGAGAAATGAAAATGGCTTCCATTCAACCTTGAAGAAGAAGAAAGAAAAAGCTTGGAATAGAACCAACTTCACCAAGTCAGCTTACAAGCTTCAGCCTTGAGAAGGAAAAAAAGAAAAGAGAGTTTAGGAAGATTGAGAGAGTGAAAGGAAAAAGAGAAAGAAGGAGACTTGGAGGGGGGCATCACATTAATTGTATTTCAAAACTTTTTATTGGAGTGACCAAATGCATAAAATATTATTTTTGTTAAAGTAAAATTTAAGTATTTGATAATAATCACATAATAAAATTAGAATTTAAATAATTATTTAACAAGTGTGTCATATATAGAGCAATTTTATATGTATGATTGATTATATAAAAAAAATCAATCTTGAAATTTTTTTAAATCTCTAAACATAAATTTTATATTTTGGAACATGTTAGATTAGAGAATGATCTAGGGACCTTTTCAAATTAAATTTTAATGTTAACGAACTAAGATACTTTTAGAAAAGAAGTCTTGATATCATATAGTCAAGATTACAATATTAATCTTATAGTCATAGACAATTATAAACCTTGTGTGTTTTGATTTACTTCTCGTGCATTTTTTTCAGCTTGCTTAACTATTTTGTTGTTTCAAAAAATTATTAAATTTTATATAAATTTTATTTAATTTCTTTTTAATATCTTTCTTTTCTCCACAGAACAAATTTGCTAAATTTAGAAAAATGATCATGATTAAATATAATACATGTATATATGAAAATAATTACCACCTTATAAACCAAAAAAAAAAGTCATAACATTATCATTTGAAGTAAAAGAAAGTATGCATCATAATATACTAGCTATTAAAATGTCATTTGTTAGTTCACATCTGATACAATATATGATATCTTAGAATCTAAATTTATTTCCACATTTAATGGTTAGTTTTAATTTTTTTCTCTACATTTTATCCTTATCCTTTTATTATCATGTACCAGTTATTATGATTGTTGAAACCCAAAAAATTCTGATCTTACGACTAATGGTTTGGACTACCTTTTTGAAAATTTTCATTAATTGAGGAATGCTTGGAAACCAAACTAATTCCTAATTAATGATTTTGAAAGTAGGTTCATGGAGTCACCACTAATGTTTTGCTCAAAACATTGGAAAATGGAAAGATTTTTAAAAATCCAATAATGACCTTAATAACCAAATTTTGGCTCGGGGGTCGATTACGTGTAGGAAAGGTATTAAACACCCCTACAACACCCTAAATTGGTATCCTATGATGAAGCTAGCTAGCATAATAAGAAATAATAATTTAAATATTAAATCCCCCTTATTGATGATTATTTATATACATAAAATTTAAATTACTCGAATTACCCTAAAATGTCTAGATGATTACACTTTTTATTATTTAGGTCAAAAATAGATTAATATGAAGAAATAAAGAGAGAGAAGTGTTGATTGAGATACCTCTTGACTGAGCTTTATTAGATCTTCAAATAAGGAGACTCTTAGGTGTTTTTTTGGCTACCTAACACATACAATGTACCTCACTAGATCTCAAGAAATATAGGGGAAGGGAGAGAGAGAAATTTTGAGCTATATCAGACTTTTTAGACAAATCTTTTCGGCACCGGGACGTAGTGCCCGAGTCTACTATTTATAGACGTTAAAACTGACCAGAATGGCCCATTTCAATTTTAGAATGGCCCATTCTGAATCAATTCGTTATGAGTTAGATTTGAATCTGGAACGGTCCGTTCCAGTGTTAGAACGATTTGTTCCAGATTTAAATTTGACTCATAACAACCTGTGCTAGAACAACCCGTTCTGGCCCATTCCCAACTAGGGTTTCTAGGTCTTTTAGTAATTTGAAACGGTTCGTTATGGGTTACTAAATCACCCTTATTGGGCTTTGGGCCTTTTGATGTCATATCGTGTCGTTTCTATGCTTCGAGAGCTCCTTTTCTTCATAATAGAAGTTTATTTCTTTGTTTGCAAGTCCGGATGAAATTAGGTGTCTACAATGATTTATGCCAATATTTTATATTATGTGAGGAAAATGAAAAATATTTATTTCTAAAACATTTTGAAAATCCCTTTTAATTTTTCTCCTTTTTTAATTTTTTTTTTAAAATTAAACATGCAAATAATGTCTTCTTGTTCTAAGAAAATGGCTAGAAACATATTAGTATGTTAGCATATTTTATAGGAAAAAAGATAGATATCAAAATCCATAACTTGCTAACAATAATAATGACTAATTTTGTACATTAAAAGTAAAAGAAAAAAAAAACTCCAAAAGAACCTCATTTTGTACATTAAAAAAAGAGTATATAATGACTATTTTTTTTTTAGCATTTATTAATGTCAACCAACTTTTTTTTTTTTCAGGAATGTTAACCAACTTGATAACTTTGGGTAATAAAATATTTTGTTATTATATGTTTAAAATTATGTTACTGAATTGATACAAATGTAGTGTAATGTTATATTTGAATAAGTTTAATTAGATTTTAGCATCATTCAAATAAATCTTAAAGTAGTGGATTGTGATATACTTAAAAAAATTAAGAGTTTTTACTTTTTATAAATTGTTGGTACTATTTAAAAGTTATAAATGACTACACTTGTAATCAAAAGATTTTATTAGCCTTTTATATCAATTTTATTATAATATTTAAAATTAAAAAAATGAAACGAACTTATAAATATCATACAAGGGATTGACAATTATTAAACTTTTGAGAGACACTAATAAATATTTTATTTATCTATTTTCTTGTCACTATTTTATTTCTAATAATGTGCTTTTAGCTCAAAGTGTATAACTTTGCACTCATTATTGTGCAAATCCTAGGAAAACAAACTCAACATCTTATTGCACCATAAATTTATTTTCACAACATTAATCATTATTCATATACAAGAGTCTCTAATTATTAACTGTAACACTGTGAGTTGAGGTAGTATTATATTATTCCCAGTTTTTTTATAATATTCAGCTGAGTTGTCAATGTTGAGAGGTTCGGGGGTTTGAGGATCTCTTATAAGCTTCGGTGGTGTTGAGAGCGGGTTCTTTGGGTAGATATCCAGTTTGACCATAGAAGAAAAAAGTATATAAGGTTTTTGTTTAAAATAAAGTCTCATAAACTCATTTCCCTCAGCTTTCTAGAGAGAGGATTCTAAAGAGAAGGTTTTTGGTTTGTGACCTTTTTTCTCTCAATCTTCTTCTTTTCTTCTTTTTCCAATCCTTTTCTAAGATGTGTTGTTTATGATTCAGGTAGTAGAAACCTCGAATCAACCTGTTGATTTTGTTGCATAGCCAATCGTTCTTCTTCTTCTACCTTGGAATTGAGTTACCTGAGGTAAGGGAAGCTAGATTTTTGTCCTGGAATGGGGTTTTTGAATGTTGAATGAAGTATGAGTTGTTTGTTGCATGAATCATTGTGAAACTCGTGGCTCTCTGAGGATCAAATCCGAGTGAGTTGAGATAAGGTTGGGGTTTTGAGTTGTTGTGAAGAATGAGGTGAAATGAGATGATTTGTAGTTGCTTGCTGAATTTGTGTACATGTTTGAGTTGGTTGTGATATATATGTTTGCTATTTTGTGTTGCATGTGTTGAAAATTTGCTTATTTTCATGTTTTGGCTCGACATTAGGTTCTACATATGTAGAATTCTGATACCGCACCAACCGCTCCTTTAATTTGTTGGGCATTGTTCTAGCTTAAGGCTCTCTATCTCGATCACATCAGGTGCATGATTGGTAACCTCAAGCACGAGGAGAGAGACTCGTCACGAGTTAGGACTACGTTGGGCGTGGTTGAATGGTGTTAGGTGTGGATGCTTTGAGAGCTCTCTAACTTAGTGATGTTGGGCCCAAGGTGGTGTGGCACCCAGCATGGCCAAGACAGAGCTCTCTATCTAGATTTCATCGAGCATCGAGGTGGTGATGTCGGACGAGACTCAAGTAGAGACACTCTACTTGAGATGGGGCCAAACATGGTGTTTTACCATGCTAGGCGTGAGGTCACATGGGCCTCTACCTTAGCCACACCGGGTGTAAGTTGTGTCACGCTGGATGTGGGCAAGGTAGATAACTTTTTGTCTAGATGGAGCCGAGCGTAAGATGTGTAGCACAAGAAGTTAGTTGCTGAAGAAAAACATGATGATATGGTTGATGAAGAGTTATTTTCTTGATGATTTAACTTGTTATATGATAATATTATGATTTTGTTGTAAGTTTTTAGTTGAGAAGTAGATATGAGTTGTAAGATTTGTGTTGACCATGTAGTTATGTTGAAAGTATGATGTGTTGTTGAGATGCATGTTGATTAAAGAGTTGAAAATGAGTTGTGATAATTGAGATGTGAGTTATAAAGTTGTGTTTTGATTTTGTAGTTGTGTTGAAACTATAATGAGTTACAGTGTTGTTGAGTTGTGTTGACCACTTAGAACTAAGGGAGATATTTTTGAAAGTTGCATATCCTATCATGTGAATATTGTGTTGTGGTGCTCCGAGAGCCCAATTTATTGAAAAATCCTTCTTAGAAAATTGACCCTTGAGGTGGATGTTGTATTGTTCTCCTCTAGAACTTTGTTGGTACCATGTGTGGACAAGATTGAGACACACGTGTATGAAACGACCATAATATAAGGGTCAAGTCGAACTATATTGATTATAAGTGGCCAACTAAGTAAAGTACAAAGTCAGAAACTTAGTTCCTAACCGAGTATCGAAAGGTTGTATAGTATTTGGAGGGTAGTCGGTAGGCATGACAATCTAACCCGCCCTCGTGGGTATCCCCCGAATCAGCCCAATTTGGATGGGAAAAACCCGTGTTGACCAGGTTCAGCTTCATGTTCAAATTTTTCCCGATTGATAAAATCGTCCGCCCCACCCTTGCCCCTGCCTCTGCCCCGTTTAATAATATAATTAAAGAATTATTTATATATATATATATGTATATATATAAACCAAACTTAGAAATCTTTATATATGTAAAAATTTGTATTATCCTACTTTTCTTTTATTTTTTTAATTTTTTTTCATATTTATTATAAATAAAAAAAATAAAATGAAATTTAAAAAAAAATGTCCAAGAGCAGGGGCAAGGGCAGGGTGGGGAAAATTGAACCCCACTGGGGACGGGTGGGTACCCAAATTTTACCCCCAGCGGGTATCGGGGGCGAGGTGATTTAAATCCGCAAGGGCGGGGGCGGGGACCATAAAACCCGCCCCCGCCCCGCCCGGCTGCCATGCCTAGTAGTCGGTGGACTAATTCCATAAGAGGCTTGGTTAAGCTAGCTAATACCGTGGTACGTCCATACCCATGTTAGTTGTTCTATTCAAACATTAGTACTATACTTCGTTGTTTAAGTGACGACATCCAAGGAACTGAGTTGTTGAGTTATGGATTTAATTATATCAAATTTGTTGTTGATCTAGCAAACTCAAAAAGATAACTTAGTGTTGTCAGTTTGGTAAGATCAAACCACTTAAACTACTCACCCTATGTTGTAGGAGATCTCTCCTAATTAAAATGTGTGACGACACATAAAGTTATTGTGTTAAGCATATGATGTGTTGAGTTAACTATGTTGTTCATATGCTATGTTGAACTAAGATGATCAATGATGTTGTGTTGAATCAGAATTGTATTGTATTGATCTATGTTATATATTGTGTTGTTCTGTCGTTGTGTTGTTAAAGATGAGATGATGATGTGATGTTTCTATGGTGTATTTATATTGTTTCTTTTTACTCTAACTTACCCTTGTATGTTTTCATGTGGTGTGGACTATGATAATTATACGTGGTATGGGAGCAAGGTAAGGATAGGGTTGGAGTGTTACAATGGAGGCCACTTAGAGGCGCATGAGTAGGAGGACATTTTGTTGACTACCCGTGGTAGTATTTTTGTATAAACAGTATAGTTACTTGATCGACAACTTAATATGTATAATTTACATTACTACATTACTGCATGTAAATTGCATATATTGATTTAGTTGATTTCCTTTGTATGTGTGCAGTATGGTACATGATTTGGTGCTTTTACACCTATAGTCTTAATGTTGGATGTTTTCTATTATTAGTCGTTATGCCGTACAATGTGGGGATCAAGTTGGGTTAATACATTAACCTAACATCCTAGTTTTAAAATAAGAAACAAGTATTTTTCCATTCTAAACAATATCATGAAGAAAGGTAATAATATTTTTAAATTCTAAACTATGTATATCAAATATTTGAAATGAAAAATTTGAATGATTTTTTCAACTATCTTGCATCCTTTAAAAATCTCACTCATTATTTGTTTAACTATTGAGTCAAATAATATTGATGTGAGAAAGTATAATGGATAAAACCAAGCGATATCCTCTTGACTCCGTCCCTAGCCTAAATGGTATGGGGATCAACATTAGTTGATGAATGAGCAACACAACATTGAACATTAATTTGAATTAGCAGTAACAAATAAATCTATTTATCTATCATTTGTCTAATTCATCTACAAATAAATTTATCCAATTTATTCATTACAATAAAAATAACTAATGGATTAGATCTTATCTCTTCATTTAATTTTATGGATGGTTAGTGATTTATCCACTACTTTTTCAAAATTCATTAGATTATAATGTGGATGTTTATTAGAATATTGAAATTTTAAAAGACTACTTTGACATAAAAAAATCTTATAAATTTTAAAAGACTATATAAGAATGTAATGATTTATAAATAGAAGAGAGAAAATAAAATATTTCAAAAATAATTTAATTTTTAAAATATTACTTTTATGGATAGATTGAATATCTATATTTTTTTTTGACTGAAAATTGAATATCTATTTATAAAAAAATTATTAATGAAAGGATTGAATGAATTTTTTTATATATTTTAAATGAATTAGATGAATTAAATTTTAATATAAATTTTCAATAAATCTAAATAGATTAACAAATTATTTTTATATAATTCATTATGATATGCCTAAAATTATTCATCCATCTATTTATCACCCTTAATTTGAAGAAACGCGTGAGCTTGAACTATTTATTTGCCCACCAATTTATGCATATACAGACAAAATATGATGTCTGACAAGTGACGTTTTTCTTTAAGTCTCATCCCACTTGATTTTAACATCGTTTACTCACTCTCGTCTCACTAGTAAATGTGTCTGTGTCATGAATCATGCATGATCACTAAATTAAATCATACGATATCTTAGTCCACCAAAAAACATATATGAATACATAATTCATCAATCCGTCGATCATCTCACAATCCTAAATCCTAAGTTGAGCGTAAGCAAATCTAAAAGCTCAAGATTAATTTGAAATGGATCCACAACAGGTAACTCAACCATCTTCAAACAAAGTCGAAAGAAAGATTGTTGAGAAAAACAGGAGAAACCAGATGAAGAACCTCTATTCCCAACTCTACTCTCTTCTCCCTAACCAGGTATCCCTCTCTATCTCTATATATATCTCTCTCTCTCCAGGTACTATCATGGGTAAATATCAGCAAAAATTCAAGTTTCACATCTATCATAAATAAAGTAAACAAAGAAAATTTATAAACGAAAGATAACTATCACCTTATAAACAAATTTTGTAAAATTGAGTCATATTTATTTTCTAAAATAGTATTAGAAATATTCTAAATTCCCTCTAAAAGTTTCACCACCATTTATACGTGCAAGCCCAATAATGTTCACCGACAAATTAACGTTAGGTGTACCGACTTGAGATGCAGCCATGCATAAAACGGAAAAAATATGTATTGCGATTAGGGCGATGGATAGCAATTTAAAACCATGAATAATATTGAAATGATGCATTTTTTTTCTTCATTTAATTCAGAAAGTCATACCGGTGGCTGGTCAAATAGATGAAGTTATTGACTACCTCGGAAGCCTAAAGGCAAGAGTGAACATGGTGCAGGCGAAAAAAGAAAGGTTAATGGGAAGGAAGAGAAATCGTGGTGACTGTTCTAGTGCTTATGAAGCACAAAGAAGCCTAAAATCGCCAAAAATCGAGGTTCATGAAATGGGTTCTTTGCTCGCTGTCATTCTAATGTGTGGGGTTGATGACCGGTTTACTTTCTGTGAAATTATTCAAATATTGCATGAAGAGAACGTCGAGGTGATGTCTTTCAACTCTTCAACGGTTGGAGATTCAGTGTTTCATGTTGTGCACGGGGAGGTATGTATTGTTAAAATTAAGCTTTTGCAAAAACACTCCATAATAAGCCCTAAAATATAAAGAAATTTATAAGCGTTATTTTGCATACTACTACTTTATGTAGGTTCGGCAATCTTTGTGTCAATTTGGAGCGACCAAAGTGAGTGAGAGGCTGAAAAGGTTTGTAAAAGAATCCAACAGTGATGTGGAAATGGAGTTTGATCAATTGTGGGATTTTGAAATTGGAACAGCTGAAATGTGGGGGCTTCCAGATCCTACATTAGACATGTACGAGGGCTTACCACCAAATCTTATGCAAAATAAAGAAGCAGAAATTGATGAGTAGAATAATTCACAATTTCAAATGTAGTCTCTTTATATAGCAATCCGGGTCTCTGTATTCTCAAAAGTGACTGATACTAGTGTTTTTTTTTCCTGAACTACTTGTTTGTGTTGTAATGTAATTTTGGCTCTATTGTTGTTTTGACCCGACATTCAATTTCAGTATTTTAGGGAAGGTTACATGTTTAGGGGGAGATGATAAATTTTCAATTATGTTCGTTGGATTTGGGTACCCTTGTTTATCCTCTTCCCCTCTTATTGGGTTTGGGTACCCTTGTACCCTTGTACCCTTTATCCTCTTCCCCTCTTATTATGATATTTTCTTTTGTTGTTCAAAAAAAATGTTTGATAGTATTATCTGTAAGTATCATTTGTATACCTTTGGTGCTTAGTTTGTTAGTGGTTATGTGTTTGTATTATCACAGTTAGTTTTTATATTTAATTAATAACTGTATGTTACTATTCTATCGTGTGTTGTAATAGTAGACATGCATGTATTAATATATAAGTGTGAAAATAAAATTTTTCCTTTACAATTTTCACTCTTTATATTGTTCTTTGCTTTCTATGTGTGAATATTTGCATTTCATTCCCTCAACAAATTAGTATTAAAACCTAATTGCTTTTGAGGGACTTATGGGTGGGTATTAAACCCACTAGATTACGAGACATTCTACCATAAGAAAAACTCTTTTCCATGTGCCAATACTTCTACTTTCATGTGAGGTGTTGAAAAGATGAATGATGAATCATTCTTATGAGTCATTTCCTATCAACTTGCGTGTCTTTGATGGAAAGAACTTCAAGCAATGGTATGTGAAGATGATGAGTGACTTTTTTATTTTCAAAATGCCAGAAATTGTAAGAAAGAGATTCAAAAAGTGAAAGAAGTTGTTACAAAGACGCAACAAGTAGTTTATAGAGTGCCCAAGAAAGATTGTAAAACTCTACTTTATCTATCAACGTGTGAATTCTACTAGTTTTCAAAAAATTTGCTCAACTAACTCAGCAAAAGAAGCTTGTGATATTTTATATAAAGCTCATGCTAATAAAATAAAGAAGTTGAAGTACTAATCTGTTCAAAGAAAATATGAATTATTGTCCATGAATGTTGCAATGAGTCTATAATTGATGATTATTTCAATTGAATTCAAACTCTTGTTAATTCGATGAAATCTTGCAATGAAAAACTTACACATCAACAATTTATGACAAGGTGTTAAGAACTTTAACTCTTGTGGTGATGACTATCAAAGAATTCAAAAATCTTGAGTTAATAAAGGTGACAAAGTTGCATAATTCCCTTGAAACCTATGACTAGAGACTAAATATTGAAAGGAGGAACATAGTAAAAAGATTTAAGAACAAATCATACTAGCTAAAACTAGTAATAAGAATAAAGGTGTGAGTGGTTGAAACAAGAAAGGAAAAGACAAGTGGAAGGATGACAAGAATAGTAGACCAATAACTTATCAAATTGTCAAGATCAATGTTAGACTAAACATGATCAAGATGAATATTTAAATAAATGAAAAGGAGGCCCAACTCAAAATAAAGGAGAAAAGAAAAGGTTTGACAAGAAAAAAGTCTAATGTTATAACATATATATACTTTTTATAATTAATTAAAATTTATGAAAATTATAAGATTATTATGAGTTCATATTCAATAAAATATGTGAGGCTTGATTGTAAAAAATTATATTTTTCTGTAAATTTCACTCAATGGCATAGAGTTTGTTGAATAAAGTGTGTTGTTGTTTTTACGTGCTTGCCTTTATATTACAACTAACATATACCGCCACAAGTGGTGCCAAACTCCAAAGGTTTTGTAAATTTTGGACTTTCACCGGTTACTTTTGTTTGTCATAAAATTATTTAGCAATCATAAATTAATAAGACAATTAAAAGTTTATTTGGATTAATTTCTCCTCAATCGATCTTTTTAGGATAAAAAAAATGAAATGAAATAAGTTTTTTCAAAAAATAAAATTAGTTAATGTGTAATTAAAATTTGTTTAGATACAAACTAAAAACATTTTTAAGAATATCTCTATAAATAAAACTTTATCTTATCATGTCCTAAATAGATTTAAAAATTAAGGTGCATTGGTTGTTCAGCTTTGATTCCCGATCATGGGTGTAATATATAAAATTTGTATTCTTTAGTCTTGGATACATAATAAGTGAAAGTAAACTGGTCATGAATCTCATGATAGCTAGGTTTCGTGCGTTTAACAAATGAGTATATAGTTATATGTTTAACAATGGCGTATTATATTAACCTAGTGAATTTCAGAGAGCATGAATAACTTTGTGTACTTTCTTCTTATAAATAGTTTGAAAAGTGAAAATATATAAAAGCGAGATTTTGGAATTTGTCTTCCCTGAATCATCCTTCTTCCCTTGCGAGAAGTGGGCACCCAAACACAAAGTTGATTAAGGCGAAAAGGTATTTCTTCATATGCTAAATTTTTCTTTTTGAAAAAAAATCTATTGGAAAATTTATTAGTATAATAATATCTATATGATCCGATGCAAGTTTGTTTATATTGTTGGGTTTAATTTAGGTATCAGCAGAGTTAATACTTACAATATTAACAAATTTATTAAAATTTAAAAAAAATTATAATTTTCGACGAAAAATTCTTTCAGGGTAATTTACTAATTTCCCACGGATATATCTGTGGGTAATTACCCACGGATTTATCCGTGGGTAATTACCCACAGATAAATCCGTGGAAAAATTCGTCAGAAAGTTACCCACGGATAAAAATCTGTTGGTAAATATTTCAGACGAGCAATTTACTGACGGATTAGTGTCCGTCGGTAATCCGTGGGAAATGCACTATTACCAACGAATTTTTGGCATTTCCCACGGATTCTGGTCGTCTGTAATAGCGGATTTTCTTGTAGTGATGTAAAGCACACAAGGAAAAGCCACGACATAATCTTATCATAACTCATTACATAATGAAATATTTACAACGATTTCTATATAATTCTATCAATCATGCATCATCTTTACATCACAATTCTCAATCACATCAATCCATCACATCATATAATTTGTACTATGTTAAGCTCATGTCACCCCTGTAGCATCCCATGCCGAAGGTCTTGCCACGCCAACATAAGTACTAATTGCCACACACAAATCTTGTAATTAACATTATGCCATGCTCACACCACCCCTGTAGCATCTCTTGCCCAAGGTCGTGCCACGCTAACTTACGTGTTACTTGTCTCACACATCTCACACTACATGCTCACACCACCCCTGTAGCTTTTCATGCCCAGGGTCATGCCACGCCAACATAAGTGTGAGGATATCCACAATCACATCATATTCAATTCATACCAACATACTAGAATCATAATTAAATCATTAATTAATAACACCTTAGAACATCAAAGTAGCATGTCTCCCTTTGACAACTGTCAAAGAAAACAACACACAAAGAGTTATACTCATCCAAATAAGCTCAAACATATCTCAAAAGAAACATAAGAGGATAATCTACAATTCTTATGAAAGCATGAAATTCAAAAAAAAATCATCTATTTAGCTAAAAATGTCAAAAATCGCAACAGATATAATCAATGTTGATAGCTTGAACCCTGTTCACTAAAACAACCATAACTAGAGTTCTAGACCTCCTTTCTAGATGATTCTAACTCTATTAGAACGCTAACATCCAAGGATACAATTTTTATCAAAGTCTAATATGGAAAGCACCAAACCGCTTGGCGCCTTCCAAAGCGCTCAACGCTTTACCTCCAGCAATTTTCCTCTGCCACACGGCCTCCGAAGGGTTCAGCCCTTTCAAAAATGTTCAACCCTTTTCAACGGCTCCCCTTTGTCTCCAAGGATTAGAGCCGTCAAAGTGGGTTGGGACCTGTGGGCCAACCTGGCCCACCTTGAAAATGGGCCAGGCTTGGCCAAAAAAAATTGAAGTTTTATAGTAGGTGGATATATCTCAACCCAGCCCACTTTGACCCGGCCCACCCAGGCTGAACCCGTGGTTGGCCGGGTAGCCCACCAAGCCACCAATTTTTTTTTTGCCATAAAAATTTATGTATGATTTGTAGTTAATTTTGTATGATGGGATATTGAAAATTTTAATTTTGGACTTTTATCATGATTTGTATTTAATTTTGTATGATGAGTTATGACTTATGACTATTAATGATGTTAATTTTATGACTATTATGTTAATTTATAATTAATTTAAAATTTTGAATTTTGTTGATAATTTTTTTTTAATTTTTGGTGGGCTGGTGGGCTGGCCCGTATAACCCATGGCCCGTATAACCCACCAACTCGTGATGGGTCGGGCCGGGCCAAATTTTTTTTTTTAGAAAATCAAAAGTGGGCCGAGTTGGGTTGGCTCATTTTTAAAGTGGGTCAAGGTGGGCCGGCCCACATGGGACAGATTGACCCGTTTTGACAGCTCTACCAAAGATCCTTCCTTGTCACACGGCCCCCAAAGGGCTCAGCCCTTTCAAACGGTTGAGCCATTTGATGACAGCGAGCCTCCACACCTGAAACTCAAAAAAATCACCATGCGACCCCTTGAATCCATCCCCACAATTGCAGATTTCAGAGGTTTTATTAATAATAAAATTTTAATATATTCAATAATTCAATGATTCAACCAAAATCCAATATTCTAGTTTCCCTTATGAACCCTAACTCACAAGCACATTGTCAATGATTCGATCTTTCTCCTAAAACATCAATTTTAACAATTCTTCACATATTCATAATCCTAAACATATACAGAATCTCCTAATACCAATAATTCTCCAAACAGAAACAATTATAAAATTATTAAAAATTACAAGGGAACTCTTCTCCACTTATTCCCCCATGTGACTTTACACATAAATCTCCCCTTTCCCCCACACTTGATGATGCGAATCTGATAGTCGTGGTGAAATCTAAAGTTGTTTCGGAGTTTTCCTCCTCAAAGCTTTTGTATATTCTTTCTTCTCTTCTTAC